ACACGGGCCAATGAAGATTGAACACATAAGGGGAACGGTTGAGAAAAGGTGCATGACAGCTCATGCGCGTGGAGGAGTTCGTTTGAGTTCTTGTTCTTTGATGAGGACATGTCGGCCTAAAATGAATGATCTCAGCCAAAAAGTTCTTACGCCGAGGTACTAGAAGAAAATACAGATATAGGTTCCATCACCTCAGAATACCGAGGTAATAGAACCTAGGGGGCAGTTGTGGGGATGTATTTTCTGAATACCAACACGTGGCATGGTGACGCTGACGTGTCAGGCGAGGTACCACGTGTCGTGGTAGTTATGCCGAGGTTATCTTTGGCGAGGCCGAGGTGATCTCCGAAGATATCGGAATCCGAGATAAGCGGATAAATGGATAAGGGGCAAGAGTCCTAGAGAAAAGAGAAGACTTAGCCAAGATAAGGATAAAATTCTTAGGGGGTTTATCTTTATCTCTTGAAGAGTCCAAGTCAGTATTGAATTAGAGTCCATAGAAGTCAGGCTTCTAGTGGGACTTGGATTGTGTAAACTATAAAAGAGAGGCACCCCCGTGGGTCTAAGGTACGCAGTTTTATACTTAAGATTGTGAGTTTAGTACTTGATTTATCTTTGAGAGATATACTGACTTGATCGTCGGAGTGCCCCCGGGTGGAAGAGCCACCGCCGGAGCCTTTTCTTTCTGTTGCAGGTTTGCTGAAGCCATCTATTCTGCCGGTGCTCTCCAACTGATTACTAGGCGGGCAGTGTGGTCAGAAAATTACCCACAGCAGGGAGGAAGGCACTCTCTATTAAGATTAGTAGACTGAAATTATTTTTCTATTAATCTTATTTCATCATCAGAGGAGAGGTGGATGACTCATTATTTGCATCGAGAATAGGTTGTTGAGTGATAACTAATATACCTTTTTCCTTGGAAGGTTTAGAATATGTGGCAATTTTGTTAAATATTTCTTCAATTGTGTCAACTGTATGAGTATCTTGTGTGACTAAACTAAGTTTACGGCGGTCACTAGGTAAATTGATAAGCGGCTTTTCTATAGTTTTACTAGTCGAAGTGTGACTATTTGAATAATCGTCAAAGGTTGTTTCAATTTTATCTAATTGCCTACTAATAGTTTTTAAACATTGATTAGTGTAATTATTTTATTCAATAACTTTCTTAATTTCAATTTCATCACCAGATATTTTAAAAGGCAAAGCATTAATAGTTGATCCTTATGTTCAATTAAAATCGTTTCAAGAGGAGGATGATTAGAAGAAATAGAAGTACTAGTAGAAGTTTTTCATTTAGTTTTTGTTATAGTATTTATTTGTTGGTAATTTTGAAGATAATCAAAAAATTGGATTTCAGTTCGATATTCTAAAATAAACGTATACCATGATTTAAGCATTTGTGTTTTAGTATGTGTAGATCTATAGGTATCTCATTTAGAATTATTTTCTTTAGATTTAAATTCTTTATATAGTTTATTTAGATTAGGTGTGAAGTCGGTGTAAATAGTTAATAGTTGTGGATTAACTGAGGGGTTGACTTCAAAGTCTATTTGAGTCGAAGATATTTGAGACTCATCATCATCTTTTTTAATCTGGGTTTATCTTGAATAAATAGGTTTACTAATCTGAGATGGCGAGGAGGTATCTATTCCTTTTTAATTTACTTTGTGATTCTAAAAGATGTCTACCTTTTCAAGTAAATAAAGATGTACTAAAAATTTCATATTTGTCATTGAGTTAAGAAGATTGACTATTTCGTGAAGACTAATGAGAGTCATGTTATAAACCTAGACGATTAAAACTTATTTTGACTAAACTATCGCTATATTGTTGAATATGATTTAAATCGTTAATATCATGTTGAATTTTGTGAGTATAATTTTCATTTACAGTTAATCAATATTTTGGGAGAGTTATTTCACTCCAGACTATGGGTCTAGGAACGTCAACATTAACTTCAAAAGTATTACTTTGAGTAAGTAAGGTTTTATTTTTTGAACTTTTGATTAAAGTATGAACATTAAGATTAGTCTTCATACATTTATAATAAATTTGATAAATTAAAGCAATAGATTGGAACCAGCAAGCATATTTGTAAATTCATGAAAAGTTTGAATATTTAATGTTAAAACTTTGACTATGTGAGGGTTCTATTTTTATTTTATTTTTTGTATTTTTTGGATTTTTTTATATTTCTTCACAAATATTTTACTTTTAAAATTATTTAGATTAACTAGATCTAAAAAGTAAAATAAAAAGGAAAAATTATAATTCAGTGTAATTTTTTTTAAAAAAAAAGTAATTACAAATATATGGAAATAACTATGTTTTTAATTATTAAAATTTACAAATTTACCAATAATTTGTAATTCTTTTTTTTTATTTTTTATTTTTACAATTGCACTGATTTGTAATTTCTCTAAAAAAATGATTAAAAAATAATAAAAAACTAAAAAGAAAAAAATCAAATTGAATAAAAAAATCAAAAATTGTTTTTAAAATTTTGAGAATTTTTTTTCCCTTTAATATATATATATATATATATATATTAATTACACGTCATCATCATCATAATATTGTGTGACCAACTATTTGTGGGGATTTTATATTGATCAAGCTCACCAAGTTTGATGGAGTCTTACCTCTGAACTTCACTGCCCTATTGGAACTGTACACATTGGACACTTTTAAAGTTTGAAAATGGAAATTTAGAAATGTTTTCTTATATGTGCAGTGTTTAAAATGGAATTTTAAAGACTTTTTGTTATTTGGGCAGTCCTATTCCTGGTGTTGCTGGTTCATTTGAAAAGCCCGCAATTCTTTTTTGTTTCTCCACCTCAAATCCCTTTCCTTGTGTTTGGTTCGAAAATTTAGGAAGAAATTTGAAAAGAAAAAGAGAAAATGTAAGTGAAATGTGAATAAAATATATCGATATTTCACATAGTTTCACACATCTTTTCCTTTCCATTCGAAATCTTTTTCTGAATCTCCCAACCAAATAGAGCGTCTCTTTTTAAACTCAACATTGATGGTGCAGTTAAACGTCATCTGGGAAAAGCCTTGGGTGGTGGAATTATTAGGAACAGCCAAGGAAATTGGATTATGAGTTTCCAGAGATTTATCGGAGATGGTTAGAAGCTGAACAGTGGGCCATGAGAGATGGTTTGAAGCTTGCATTAGATCTAAAAATTTCCAAGTTAACTGTTCAAACTGATGCTCTAGCTTTGCAGATTTTGCTTGAGAAAGGTGTAAGTTCACATCAACATCGTTGAAATCTGGTTTGTGACTGTAGGTTCTTCCTTTGCAAGTTGGGGAAGGAAATAATTTGGCCAATGGAGCAAGTCATACCATTGAGGGAGTGCGCATTTTACAAAATTACCCTCGATTATGTAACTCAAAAATTCTCATCTAGTTTATACATATCTTCGGTTTATCAAAATAATAATAAAAAAAAAAATGCTAAATTAATATTATTTTATAATTTCACATACATCATTTGATGTATGCCGTGTGATTAGTTCACTATCTTCACTCAAGTCTACTTTAACTAATAAATCTTCTTACCTTAATCTATATCTTGACAACACTTTCAAATCATGTTGCAGCCATTCCAATCCACCTAATACAGCAAACCATCGTCGTAAATATTAAATTGGTCAATTTTTTTTTATTTTTTTAAAAGAAGTCATAAAATATTGAAGTTTTGTTTGATAATATTTAAAATTCACTTCATTTTCTTTTTCTTTTTTTGTTTACAAAAAGTATTAAATGTATTTATTTTTAGTTTTTTGGATAAAAAATAAGGAAACAAACATGTTTAATTCACCTCTTTTTCTTTCTTTCTTTCTTTTTTTAAATGTTTTGAAAACAAGTGAAAAGGCGGTTGAATATGATTATTTACAGTTAAGGTCGACCGCTAGAGGTGGTGACCAGAGGTGTTTGTCGGCCACTGGAGGTGGTGGTGACAGAAGGTGGTGGTTGAAGGTAGTTGAGGTCACCAATGATGGTGTCTAGAGGTGGTGGAGGCTGGTGGCAGTTATGAGCGACAGATAGAAGAATGAATGATTTCAAAATTTTAGTAAACTATTTATAAGTTCTTGAAAATAAGACAAAATAAAAAATTTTGTTTATAGTTTTCAATGTTTTAAAATATAAAGTGAAAATTATAACGTAAACTTAAACGCCCTTAACGATATGCATGAAATCACAATTAATATCCTAATTCATTTTTTCATTGAAAGCACGAATAATGTTAATTGGAATTGTTAGAGATCATTACAAGGGTTCACAGTGAAAATCTCTCACAGGTTTTATTGTATAAAAGACAAACCAAAAAAGATTTCATTTACTAAAGTCAAAATTTAAAATATGATACAATATCCTCAACTGAAATTTCGTTAGTCTCTCTCCTAGTGTGAATACCGTGTCTTTTTGGGTATTAGGTGTGTTTTCACACATTATACCAAACTCTAAATCCCACATCGAATGTGAATCACGTCATCTATAATGGTAACTAATCGTTTATCTCATAAATTATCAAAATAGATCAATTCTTAATAAAAGAGTTGCTATTTAATTTTTATGGAAAATTAAAAAACCTTTTAACTCTAAAAACATAACATAGGCACTAATGTCTGAACCAAATATCTTGGTTTGAGAACTTAGGTCACTACAAAAAAAGGATTTTTACGATACCAAATACATGTCGTGAATACAATTCTATGACACACAAAGTAACGTCGTATTATGACCAGTCATGAAAAGTCATTCACTTTAGCATGCCGTTAAAAACTTTTAATAGAGGATCTTGTGCGTTGTGTTTGACATTTTTACTACTTTTGCATGCTGTTAATTAAAGGGACAAACCACGACGTTCATTGCTATTCATTGAATATTTAATACAATGACCTATTTTGCCTTTCGTAAATAACCCAAATTTCACGACATTTTTTGCATGCCGCAGAATGTGTATATTTAAAAAATAAAAAATAAAAAATTCAACATGTTTTATTTCACCTAATACAATATAAGAAGACATTACAAACAAGTTTTACGAACAAGTTTTACAATCAACTACTAAAATATTGTTTCAAATATCCAAAAAAAAAAAAAAAAAACTATCTATAACTTTTGATCATCCAAAAACTATCTATTCATTCCAAACCATCCAAAACTAATGTTTCTAGACATCAAAAACTATCCTTAGTTCAAAACCGTCCAAAACGTTCCAAAAAAAAAAAAATTCCTGAAGTGCTAAACCATCTAAAAACTATACTTATATTCAAAACCGCTGCTGAGAGGCCTTTTGTCTTATTACGGGCCATGTCGAAATATCATCCCCTCAAGGGGCAGCCTAAGGAACAAAGAAGAGGCTCACCTCAACGCCCACTTTAAAAAACTTGGCAGCTTGATTTGGAAGTCTCACAATCTGTGAGAATGAGTACAAGAAACACAAATGGAAACACCACATTTATAAAGTGTTGTAATAAAAAACTGTAGAAACACAAATGATAGGACTATGTCGGTGAAGATCAGTATCAAACCAAAGAGCTAATATTGCAACAGAAGGGGATTACAAAACAAGATAGCTCACAAATGAGAGGATTTTACTTTCTTTGTCTAAATGAGAGGATCAAAATATATTCCTAGCATCACTACTAGTCCAATCACAGCTCAAATAGTTGAAACAAGAAAACTGAGTACTAACTATAACTATTCATGGACTGAAAATGTTATATATTAAATAAATAAAATGAAAATGTTAAGTGCCGCCAAAGCTATATATTCAAGAACAAATCCAGAAAGCATTTCACTCTGTAACAAGTGGAAAACAATTAAAGATTAAGAGTTGAGGAGTGCTGATACTTACTTTTTATTTGCTTCCAAACAGGCCACTATGTTCCTCAACTAGCAGAGCTTATGCTGCAATTCAACGATCAAAATATATTCGTAGCATCACTACTAGTCCAATCACAGCTCAAATATTTGAAACAAGAAAACTGAGTACTAACTATAACTATTCATGGACTGAAAATGTTATATATTAAATAAATAAAATGAAAATGTTAAGTTCCGCCAAAGCTATATATTCAAGAACAAATCCAGAAAGCATTTCACCCTGTAACAAGTGGAAAACAATTAAAGATTAAGAGTTGAGGAGTGCTGATACTTACTTTTTATTTGCTTCCAAATAGGCCACTATGTTCCTCAACTAGCAGAGCTTATGCTGCAATTCAACGATCAAAATATATTCGTAGCATCACTACTAGTCCAATCACAGCTCAAATATTTGAAACAAGAAAACTGAGTACTAACTATAACTATTCATGGACTGAAAATGTTATATATTAAATAAATAAAATGAAAATGTTAAGTGCCGCCAAAGCTATATATTCAAGAACAAATCCAGAAAGCATTTCACCCTGTAACAAGTGGAAAACAATTAAAGATTAAGAGTTGAGGAGTGCTGATACTTACTTTTTATTTGCTTCCAAACAAGCCACTATGTTCCTCAACTAGCAGAGCTTATGCTGCAATTCAACAAGAATGACAAGTTGTTCAACTTGAAAGGAATCGTTGTGAGACAAAAAAAATTGATAAAAAAATTGAGAGGATTTTTTTGGCAGCATAAACTGAGATTAAAAATTAAATTACAAATGAAAAGTAGATTGACCATTACCAATGACATATTTAATGAAAGGCAAACCCAAAAATCAAGTCACAAGTAATACAGTGATGACAGTATTTATATACATATCTAGCACTCTTTGCTTAACCTAAACTTTCATTTCCAATTTACTTAGCTTCACTCCACTCCAGACCACCATTGGAGCGCACACCCTAAAGTGAATCTGGAGTTGCCCACTGAAAACCCCACCACTTTAGTAGCTCAGACTTAGAGCACAGTAACAGAACATGGTTGCTAGATTCAACTTCACTTTTACAAAAAGGGCGGACATTAACATTACTGCCTAGAGCACAAATTTTTTGCAAATAGTCAGTTGTTATCACCCTCCCTTACCATTAAACCATAATAGATTAAGATAAATCAATCGCTACAAGAAACAACCTTTGAAATGAATGTCACAAACCCATTACTTACACATCAATAGCACACCTAAAAAAGCAAACTAGTGACAGAAAAATAAACCAAAGAGAGTATTTTATAAACAAATTAAGTCCCAAGTACCCAAAATAAACAAATGGCTAAACATAACAAACAACAACAGAAATGGCCAAAGAATCAGATTTAGCACTAAAATTGGTAATTTAACCAATACATCTACTACAACAAGAAGCTAATTCTCACTCAATACACTTCATATTACCCAGAAATACATACTGATAAATAAATAAATAAATATATATATACTCAATTTTTGATGAAAAAGAAACTTGAATTCTTGAGGGGTGAAGTGTTGGTTGACTAAAATAGAAACCAAATATGCCCTTGAATTTAGAAATTCAAGTGATCAAAGGAAAGAAAGAACCAAGCTATTAGTGAAGGATTCCATCTATAAAACAAGGCTAAATGGTTATGCAAAGAGCAGCTAGTTGATCTATATGGGTACTCTAACACCAACTTAAGAAACACGGAAGACTTGTCATCTAATAACCTTGCTGGACTATCAAACTCTGTCACTTGACCTGCAAAACTAAGTTTCATGAGCTTTCTGTTGGCATGCAGCAGAAACACTACATAGACTAAAATTTCACTGGGAATTAAGTGATAAAAAACTGAGAAATTGTTCTAAAACAAATTCCAAAATATTAAACTCAAGTTTTGATGTTCTATAAGAAAGATTACCAGTTAAAACTTGGCATCAATGGATTCCAAATCTAATAAATTCTGGATATTTCAAATGCATAAATTCATAGAAGTGAAAAGCAAAAAGCAAAAAGAAAAATGAAAACAGAACTGTAATGGAATATGACCTATAAGTGACTTTGATACTCAGTATACTTCACAAAGAGATGAAAATAAAAATAAAGATGGACTGTACAAACAACCTATGAAGCATGGACACTCCAAAAATGGTGCCGTGGCAGTGTCCGACACGCGGACACGCTGGGGACACGGGGACACGTAGGGGACACGTACGGGACACGCCAGATGGTGTGTCCCTTTAATTTAATAATTTTTTTGGAAGGGGACACGGAAGGGACACGACGGGGACACGCGTGTCCATATCTGGACACGCCAAGGGACACGGCGGGGTTCTTTTTTAAATTTTCTATATTTATTTGGGGTCAAAGTATAATATTTAACAAGTTAAAAAAAAAAAAACTAACGGGCAAAGCCCTAATCGAACAACTGAGGTAAAAAATAGTAAAATTAGACCTCTCAGTCGAAGTCGAAGCTCTCCTCTCTCTCAGTCGAAGTCGAAGCTCTCAGTCGAAGCCCTCCGAAGTCGAACGAAGCTATCTCTCTCAGTCGCAGCCCTCCGAAGTCGATCGAAGCCCTCCGAAGTCAATCGTAGACCTTCGATCCAGTCGTCTGTGTCTCAGTTTCAGTCGATCCAGCGTCTTCGACCTTCGATCTGGTCGTCTTCGAAGGTAAGCCCCTCTCTTGCCTGTCTCTTTCTCTTTCGCTCTCTCTCTCTCTCTCTCTGCTCTGCTTCGGTTCGACTGAACTGAACTGTCTTTATTTTTTATTTTTTTTTATTTTTTTTTTATACGTTCGACCAGACTTTTTTATTTTTATTTTTGTTTTTATTTTTATTTGTTTATACATTTACATATATAAAACTTTTTTTTTGTTTAATTATATGTAAAAAAAAAATGTATTTAAAACTGTAAGATTTTTATGAGTATATATTAAAAACTGTAAAAATAATTTTTATACATTATGTAAACTCTTTTTTTTATTTTTTTTATATAAAATTGTATTTAAAAAATAATAATTATAGGTTTATATATATACATATATACAGTATGTAAACTCTTTTTTTTATTTTTTATTTTTTATCCTTCTAATGTTAATGTTAATTTATAGGAAAAATGTCTAGTTCAAATTCTGCCAATAACACACAATCTGCCTTTGATGCTGAAGATGATAAGCCACTGTAGAAATATGTGACTAGATTAGAAAAATCTGGTGCAAGAGGGGGACATTATACTTTTCAATATAACTTTTGTCGGGTTACACGTGTAACGCCCCACTACTTGCTGGCCCAAATAACTTGTGGGTCGACCAACAATACCCAAAAGCTTAAGTCCAAGTTATTTAGGCCAGCAAGTAGTGGGGCGTTACAAATGGTATCAGAGCCGACCCATGCACACAACCATGTGGGCCACTTATTCTGGGCTGGCCACGAGCTTGTCGTGGTATTCTGATTGATTATAGACCCTCGCGAGGACGCGAGGATTTATAAGTGGGGGAGTTTGTAACACCCTGTCCCACATCGGAAGTTTGCATGGGTGATCTTGGGCATATATAGCACCACTACCTTGCTACTAAATAACTTGGACTTAAGCTTTTGGGTATTGTTGGTTGACCTACACGTTATTTGGGCCAGCAAGTAGTGGGGCGTTACAAATGGTATCAGAGCCGACCCATGCACACAACCATGTGGGCCTGGGCGGAATTCGGCTTGGTCCTCATGAAGCCACACATCATATAAATACCTAAAATGAAAAAAAAAATACACTCATTATAAAAGTGAAAGAATAATATTAAACTTAAATTAATAAAATAGCAAATTGTGTTGTAATCACCTTGGATTCAATGAGTGTGCCAAGCAATGAAGTGGTGTGTTGTTTTGTTTCCACCGGTCTACAAGAATCTGATGTACTACATTAATAATGTAGACTCGTCTTCTAGTCGCTTTCCTTCAGCTTATATATCACCATCTTCACTTTTTCTATCATTGTATCCCACATGTCATACACTAAGTGAAGAAAAGGTCTATCGGTGTCACATACTCTAATCATGTCATAAATAGGAGCAGTAAAGGAAAGTATGTAGTTGACTTGATCCCACCAAAAGTCATCTAACAACTTATCCTTCACAAACTTGGCCTTACCAATATCATCACCCTATAACAACTCCATTTGTCACTGATTACCATTGTTTGGAGACCTTGCTTTATCAATTTGACCCTCTTAAGCATGACAATGGAAGAAGCAAGCGTGTCTCGGCAACTGAAAGAAGTTTCAAACTCACAAACTCATTATACATTGCCAACCTCATGGAATGATTACAAATAAAATTTTTAATCATCATGACATCACCCACAATCTCACTAATCCAATTACACTCTTCAAATGCAACTGAATTATTTTCCACATCTTGGCAGCACAAATATTCTTCAAGGCAAGATTGAGGGTGTGCACAACACAAGGAGTCCAAAAGATGTGAGGAAATTGTGCTTCAATTAGGTGTCCCGCCGCCTTGCAATTTGCGGCATTATCTGTAATGACTTGAACCACATTTTTAGGCCCAACCTCCATAATTACTTCCTTATCAAGTTTGAAATAAAATACTTGTCTTTTGTTTCCCCTGAACAATCAACTGCTTTAAGAAACATAGGCCCACCTCCGGAACAGCCATAAAATTTATTAATGGCCTTCGTTGGGAATCACTCCATCCACACTGACTATACTCACACCCTTCTCTCTCCATGTGCCTCGAATAGGGTCTAACATCTATCAATGTTTGTCCTTTCTTTTGAAGCAATGTAGTTCTCAACATATTATACCCAGGTGGTACATATCCTTGTATGTTGTTATTTGCAGCAAAAGTAAATGCACTAACAAGTAAGGATTTCTTGCCAAAATGAAATGGCAAGCCTGCTGAATAAAACATTCTAGCTATCTCACTATTTGTCGTTCTCGAGCCCCAATGTTAAATGCTTTCAGAACAGGGTTACCACTACTTCCACTCCCTATGGCAGTTGACCTCTTCCTTTTTGATCCATACA